CAGAGGGAGCTGCTTCCATGCGCTTGCTGCACCGGCAGCGCTGCCCGCGCCCCCCGCCGCCCGGGAAGGTGCAGAGGAGAGGGGGACCCGGCTGCTGAAGGGGTCACTCTGAGGGACAGCGGGACTGGAGGGGCCGGGGAGGGTGCCCGTCCCGGGCTATACCAGGGCTCAGCACCCCAGCCCTCCCCAGCAGACGGTGGGCACCAGACCCCGGGTGCTTCTCGCAGCTTGCGGATGGATCGCGGCAGGCCCTGCAAATTTGCCGTCGCACCGCTCCGGCGGCATGGTGGCCAGGGCCAAGCGGAGCTCTGCAGTTGCAGGGCGGGAGAGGGTGCCAAGCTGGAGGGCGTCCAGGGTGTGAGGACGAGGGCACGGTGTGGTGCCCGCCCGACGTGGCCCTGCTGCGAGGCTGTGCGGGCTGCCGAGGAGGCAGCATGTCCTGGGGAGTGCGCGGGGGCAGGAGCGGGGCCGGCGGGTCCGTTCTGGGCCGCCGGCTATCGGTACCGGCAGGCCAGCGCATTCACATTCTTCACCACGTAGAAGCTCATGGTCAGCGGGGGGATGACCAGGGTGCGGCCGGCCCGCAGCGGACGAGGCTTTAGCTCGGGGAGGGTCCCGTCGTCCACCATGGCCAGCGGCTGCCCGTTGAGCTGGACCGACCTGCGGGAGCAGGAGAGGATCAGGGCAGTGGCGTTGAGGACGGGGCGGCGGTGGCAGCCCCAGCTGCCAGCATCACACTTACTTGGAGTGGAGCCCGTCCTTGCCGTAGGGCTGCAGCAGGTACTGGTGGACGATCTTATCCCGCAGCGTCCCTGCCAGCTTGATTTTCTTCCGGGAGCGATGCAGGTTGATGATGTAAAGGGTGATGGACCCCCGGACGTAGTTGTGGCTGCAAAGGGGAGAGCGGGAGCTGAGGGTCACGTTGGCATGTGCCCCGGGAGCATCACTTCCAAGAAGAGGTTTGGGGGTCTCTGCAAAAACCGGCCTCGTGCACCCATCCAGAGGGAACATCACTATCCCAGCTGCCCCTCCACAGGGAGATGCCATCTCCCCATCACAAAGCCCGATGACACCTTCCCAATCTCCCCCTCCCCTCTTCGGCCAGGGGTGGTACAGCTCGAGGGGGTGCCACACCGATGTCTGGAGTGGGGGTGGAGGTCCCGGGGCAGCCCCCCAGGGCCTTGCAGGGAGGAGGCTGAGAACGGAGGGGAGCTCTGTGCGCGAGTGGCGTCTGCCCCCGCTGCCCCGGGCACCTAACTGACAGGTCCAGACACTGATCCTCTGTCCCTGCCTAAACAGGCAGCCCCAAACAAAGGCGAAAGCACTTTGCACCTGTCAGTTACTGGACAAGGTTTCCTACCGAGCTGGAGGCATGTTGAAAGCATCTGGACTGTGTAAAGAAACAGCCTCTCCTCCTCCACAATAGCAACTTGTGTCTGCGGAGGAGGTGGCCAACCCCCCCGGCTTGCTGGGGCGCTTTCAAAGACCTTATCAGCGAAACAATAACCAGGACGGGCTCCCCGGCAGCGCAGCCTGGCGGGTAACCCGACCGACCGGGGGCCCCTCGTGTGAAATCCACTCCCTTGATCTCTGCTGCCGGGGCTGCCTGCTGGCCACTGCACCGTCCCCGTCCGTCCCCGTTCCCAGGCACGGGCTTGCCACGACTTTCATCGGAGGCATTGCTGTTCCCGCGCGCTCCCTCCACCGCCACAGCAACCAGAACAGTACCTGAGCGCATCCCTTGGGAAGCCAACATGCCTTGCCGGAGCCAAACCCTGGGCTCCTGCCCCAGCATGTCCTCGGTGGCTCCCATCTCCTGGGGGTCCTGCTTATTCCCCCCCTGCAGCTCCCAGCCTCCCTCGCTCCGCTTACTTGTGGTAGCTGGTGCAGTGGGCGTAAATGCGGAGCTTGTCGCGAATGACTCTGCCGGGCCGGGGTTTCCTCTGGAGACCGGCCACGTGGATCGCCAGGACCTTGGGACCGATGAGGCGCTTGTACAGCAGGGACAGCCAGTAGTCCTGGGGGGCAGAGGGGACAGTCAGCAGCACAACGGTCCCCCCTGACTCACAGCAGGAGCGGGCAGGAGAGACTGGCTTCCCTGCTTACAGCCTAGCAAAATTTCGGCTGTTGGGTGAAAATGTTGTGTGCCAGATGTCTGCCTTGGTGTGAGCTTTTTTAATGCAGTCCAAGCCAAAATGGCATCGCTGTTTCCAGGAAAGAGATTAAGGGAAGAATACATTACTCTACCCGTGCTGAGAGACACCGATACCCTCTAAAGGAGCTCGGCTTTTGGCTGGGCTGCGGAGCGTGGGGAGCAGCATGGATGCGCTTGCACGTTCCCACGGACCTGCACATAACCACTCCGCGGACCTGTGCACCAGCTCCAGCTGAGGCATGCAGGACGGTGATGTCTCTGGAGCAGGCAGGTCACCCTCCACCCCTCTCTGTATATGGGGCTGGAGCACACCAGAGCTCTCCTGTGCTCTCCAGCTCCGTTCATGGCACGCTGGCTTTGGTGACTGCTGAGGGTGCTCCACTTCCCAGAGGTATTCCTCCCATTTTAAAGCCTCCCGCGGAATTAAGCACCCATGAAGATAGCGCGGGGAAGCCGAGCACTCAAGAAGTAGGAAACGTTCAGCCCCTGCACACATGCGTTAATGATGCAGCCTTTAATTACGTCACCACATACTACTTTTTCCCGCAGGGCATGGCCTCGCTCGGCACACAGGATGGGCCCCAAGCCCCGGGGAGGAAGGCGAGGCTGTGCGGTGACGGAGGCCGCTGCCGGCAGAGCCCCCCCCTCATCCGCTGCAGAAGCTGGGAGGTGTGCGGTAAATGAAGCAGGGTTGTGGGAAGGGCAGTCTCAGGCGCTCGACTGCTGTTCTGCAGGATGGGACTCTGGCCCTGCCGCTGCTCCGGGCACCCTGGGTGATGCTGGGGAGATGGAGCCTCTCACGCTGCTTCTCTGGGTGCTGCCTGTGGGTGCGCTGGGCACCACCTACGTGCTGGGGCACCTTCACACACACGAGCGCTCTGGATAAACACCCTCTGCGCAACCCAGACTGGCTGCCCCAGAGGGACCATGCGCCCCAGGGCAATTGGGATGATCCCCCCAACCCTTCGGCAATGTCGGACACCCAGCAGCAATGGTCATGCTGGCACTAGGGACTGCTCTGCCTGGCAGCATGACCCGCACAGTGAGGAGGACCCACTGCTGATGTGGAAAGGAGCACGGATCAAGCACCCCGTGGCTCTGCACACTGCTTGGGGAGGCATGAGGAAAGGGCACTATCCTGACCACACCTATCCTGCGTGGTCAGGATAGTGCCAGGAAGGGGTCTGCCACCCCAGAGTGGCATGGAAGGGGGGAATGGGCTCTCCAGGGCCCCAGGCTACAGGGCAGGATGGACAGGCGGAAGCTCAGATCCCTCACACAGGTACAGGTATCCGTCCTGTGGGTGGGAAGCGCTCACACAGCCCCTGATTAACATGCGTTTTGGATGAAGAGGCCAGCAGATGAAACACAGAGCAATGCTGCAGCAGCAACCGGCATGAGGCGAATGCCCACCGGCCAGACCGGACTGCCGGTCCCCATCCTCTCTCCAGCCCAGCTCAGCAGAAGCTGACCAGTTCCAGCAGCGCTGGGCTGGCCTGGCAAAGGGAAATCCAAACCCACTTCCCACTTTCTGGGTAAGCTTTTGCCACAGTGCTGGAGGAAAAGCCGCCTCCTGCTCTCCTCTTGCTGCTCCCAGCCAAAACCACGGGGCTTTGTGGCACACCAGCCTGGTAACTGCTTCCCCTGCAAACCCTGGGCCCCGGAGGAAACGTGAGGGTGAAGGGAGAGGCTTGTGCACCCCGAGGAGGCTCAGTCCATGAGGCCAAAGCTCCCAGGGAGATTGAGCGGCAGTTGCTCAATGCCTCAGATGTGTGCCGTCCCTGTGGCGCGTGCCACCGTCCCTGTCCCTGCTGGCCAGTGGTGCTGCCCCACACCCTGGGGATGTCCCCGCCAGCACCGTGCTGCAGGGGCTGTGCCAGCCTTCCCCAGCTGCGGGAAGCTGTGCCGGCCCACCCCGCTCAGGCTCACAGCAGGGGGGAGAAGCAGTGCCTGGCACACTGCCGGCTCCCCGGTGAGCCACGCTGATTAGCAGGCGTCATTAGATGAGTAATTACTTGAGTTTATGGCGAGGCCAAAGGTGAGCACAGATTGCAGTGTTTAGTCCCACAGTCGTGAGTTAAAAATAAATTAGTTCAGTGCTCCGAGCTACCTGTCAGCTCAGGCTCTTAGGTCTTTCTAGCAGAAAGAAGGCAGAAACCCCTTGGGGTTTCTCGCCTCCTCTCCGTATTTCCACTGATGAGATGCTGCTTTCGCCCACAAGTTATGGGAGCAATAGAGGCCAGAGACTTCATGGCCGCCCTTGAAATTTCCATATGGGTCTCAAGAGCTGTTTTGCAGGAGGCTCGTGATGGCCTTGTCGCGATGTGGAGCTGGCATCAGCAGCTCCAGCCTCTGGCTGAGCACCCGCCCCTCCGGGCAGGGTGATCCCCGGGGGTTTGCTGCTTTGACACCGGCATCCCTCTGCTCTCAAGGCTCAGCAGCAGCAAGGTTTGCAATGTGGGTGCAGGGAGCTGCCCAGCCCCACGACCTGCCCCGGTTACTGCCAAATCTCTCATCTCAGCATGCACTCTTCCCAAGGGTGCTCTGACAAACCCTGCTCCCCTGCAGAGCTTGGGGAGCTGAGCCCCGGGCTCCTGCTGAGGCAGCTTACAGGCAGAGCTGTGCCATTCAGTGGCAGTGAGGGTGCGGCATCTCCTGGGCTGGGCACAAGGAGAGATGCTTGCCTCTCTGGGAAGCATTGGTCACGTTTTGTGATCTTCTGATCCAGCTAAGGGTAAACAGTTTTTCTGAGAAGAACTGTGCAGATGCCACGAGATGGGTAAGGCAGTCAGCAGTGATGCAGGGTGAGCTGTTCTGCAAAGCATCAGATGACCATGGCTGAGCGTAAAGTATTTCGGTGCGGGCAATGCCCCCAGGGCAACGTGGGGACTGACCTGTCCCTCCAGCATCTGCAGGAGGTGAGGGGAGAGTAGTGATTTTACCTTGCCTTGCTGGCAAGGCTAGTTCCAAAACCTCCATTTTGGAAAGGATGTGGAAATACCAAAGAGAGTTCAAAGGAGGGCCAGAAAAACGACCCAGGGCTGGAAAAGGAGTCGTCAGCCCGGCCTCGAGGCACTCGAGCTCTTCAGCTTACTGCAGGGAAGCACTGAAGACAGCTGCAGCTTTTCGCGTCATCGCAAGCCCGCTTGCGGCAGGGGCCAAAATCATGTTACTTGCAATAAATTACCAGGAGCTGGTGACACAGAGCATTTGGATGATGAATTACACACACACCTAGCATGACAGGATCAAACCCGCCGGGTGCGGGCACTTCCCCCAGCTGGACTGGTGCTCTGGCACTGCTCCTACCACTGGCGTGAGTGAACCCCAGTTAAAATCACACTGGGGCTGCTGGGCACCTGCAGCTACTGACTCCTGTTCAAACAGTGACCAGCTTGGGAAGCAGTTGCTCTTGAAACCTAGCTTGGCTGCAACCGGGGTGGCTTTTCCACCGATCAGTGACCTCTCCCCAGACCCCTGGCAGCGGCTGGCACCCCCTCCCATATGGCAAGCCCTGTGCAAGCATGGCCCCCAGGCTGGCAGTGTCCATATGCCCCTTGCAAAGACAAGCGCTCGCCTTGCAGCGCGGTGCTGGGCATCCTGTCGGAGGCAGCCCAGGCAATCCCTGGGGAGATGCACGGCTCTGACCAGCGCAACTGCAGAAAGTATTTGGCTTTTGGAGTCATGGAGGGCTCCTGTTGTGAGGGCTGAGCCAGCAATACAGCTGTAGCGGTAGAGGAGGAATAACAGACGGGAATCTGGTCCACTATTAGTCCCCCGGGAATTGAGGGAGCTTTCTTGCTTTAATTACTTTGCAGACCCATTAAGCAGTGCTGCCACTGCAGCCCTAGGAGCTGCAGGCAAGGAGCACCTGAAGGCAGAGCTGTCCTGTGCCTCAGGAGGTCTCCTGGCTGGGACCCCTGATTTATGGGCAGGAAGGGCGCTTGTCTCAAGTGAGCTGATGTGCAGAGCTCAGGCCAGCCACATCTGAGTGCTATGGGGCCAGCGAAGACCCACGAGCTTTCCACTAGATGGGGAAAGCCCAGAGAGTCCCACTTGATCTCTTTGCACATTTTAATTCATTATAGGAGCTTTTAGAGACTTCAGCTTTTGGAAACAAGGCTGATTAGGCAGACCTTCAGACAGACCTATTAACCAGACCCTCCCATCTCCAAGAGCCATTAGGAAGGGCGCAGGAGTGTATCTCCACGCTCTCTCCTAGAGATAGCAAAGCAGCTTTACAGCTCGCCTGAGTTTGTTCAACTCCATGTTCACCACATGTGAGAAGACATTGCCATAACCAGAAAACCGGAGTAACAGAGCTGTAGCCCTTTGGTCTCCCGGGCGCTGTAACTGTCAAAGGCAGCTGAACTTCAAATGAGCAGGCTGCCGACCCCGTGGTGCACAGCCTCCTCTAGCTGGGGCTGCTGGGGCATGGCTCTGTGTCCCCGTGTCACCGGCACCATCAGCTGGCTGCTGCCCACCCTCCTCCTCTTCCTCTTGCTTATTCCCTCTTCTGAAGCTTCCCAAGCTCTTCCTCCATCCCTCAGGCACGCTTGAGTTTCAACAGCCTGTTACAGATTGCTCCATTCCTGCACCTTCATCTGCGTTTTTCCACAGTCCAAGCACCCCGTATGGAGATAAGGGCTGGCTGGTCTGCCTTCCCGTACACCACGGGACAGAGAGCTTCACTCTTTTATCCCTCTGTTGAGCCTGATGGCTCATTTTTGGCAAAAACATCTTCCAGAAAAGTAGTGATTGTGTGGGAGGGGGCTTGGAGGGATGGAGAAGCCGCCACTTCCCAGGGAGTCTGTTCCAGCGGTTAAACATCCGCACTGTTAACAATCCCACTCCTTATTTTCA